AAATCCAGTTCTCAGTAGGTAAACCTTCACTAAACTCTATTAAAACACCTTCTAAAAGATCTACATAATTTCTTGCATTCATTTTTGTTGTAATAAAACATATTGGAAGCCGTGGAAACAAAATGCGGCCCATACCATAACCATCCTTCTTCTGAAGTTATGACTCATAGCTATGCTATATATTTTGTTTTCAAATCAAGCCAATAATACTTAAAACCATAAGGCCCATCTGGGAAAAATAATTAAATGTGGGATGCAGAATGGAAAAAAAAACATTTTTCCATTCTGCATCCCATGTCATGTGGTCCTTTGCAAACTTAAATCTTGCACTTTTATGTTTTTTTGTCAATGGTGGTTTTGTGATTATTCTTTTCCATTGGAATCGTCCTGATTTTGACAAAATTTGTTGGACACATCTTATAGTCACATGTAATTCAAGTTTAGTTCTTCTTTGTCTTGCTGTTTGTATTCTAGATGATGCCAAATGCAAAATGGAAGAATGTTGTCTTTTGGTTGTTTTTTTATTTCTGCCCTTCAAGTGATTTTTGTTGTAATTTTTACCTAAGTTTATAAAATTGTTCATTGCATGATGAGACCTTTTGATTTTTTTTGCAATTTGTCGATTAGACAAACCCATATCTTTGTAAGCAACTATTTTTGCTTTTTCTTCCTCATTTAACACCATTCCCTGTGGCATTGTAATAATTAAATAAAAAATCTTAATTAAAAATACACAAAACTTCCATATATATTCAAACTTTTCATATAAAACAAACAAATTTAAAAATCTTACTCAAACTTCAACACTTATTAAGTGTTCAAAACAAACTAATGGAACTATGGAAATTTTGCCTGTATATATACCAAATTTAAAAACATTCGAGAAAATTTAGTTTCAATTGTTTTTTAAAAAAAAACAATTGAAATTAAAATTGTCACAAATGCATTTGTTTGCAACGTCTAATAAAGAAAATTTTTGTGGTTAATTTTATAAATGCGTTCCGCATAAAATCTGCAATAACTACATGGAACTATAGAAATTTTGCTGAGTGTGTAATCAAAAACGTTTTAAATTAATACGCTGATGATAATAAAATTTTATAGATAGTAAATTCAGATTTGTTTGTCTAAGAAATCCAAAATAACTTGAATAAAATATTTAAAAAAACTTAAGGCTGGTTGCTAAAGTTTAATATAAACAAGTGTGTTGTGATGCATTATAGCTTTACCAATAAGAAATGTCCACTTTTAATTAATGATGTACAACTTATGATTTTGAGTCTAAATGTCTTGGAACTAAAGTTTCTATCAATTTTAAATGAAAAGATCAAGAAACTATGGTAATTGGTAAAGCAAATAAAAGGTTGGAATGAATAAAGAAATTGTTTGCAAGATTTGACTGTCAGCTTGTAAGATCTCTCTGTATGACTGAAAGGAGAAAAAGAGGAGATTTGATCCAATTATAAAAACTTATAAATGGTATTGACATGATATATTTATCATGTTGATAACTGTAAATTTGGTGTAGAAAGTTCAAGAACATTTTATAGCAAACACTTGGTTTCTATTTATTAATAGTTCATAATTATTTTTCTTATGTATTAAGCAGTTTTTGTAATGTAAATTTTTGTGTTATTTTATATAAATCTATGTAAAACATTTGTAAAGACAAGTAGAATTCAGGTTAATAAATAAATTTTTGAAAGAAAAGAAGTTTTATTTGGAGCAAGAAAATTACAAAAACTTAAGCAAAGATTAGAGCAATGAAACTGTTTTTGACTAATGAAAAAGTTTTTTGTTTATCATAAAAAGTTATTTATGATAAACAGACAAAAGGATATTTAGAAAAATGCTGCATCATAAAAAGTTTACCTTCAAGAGCACAATATAGCATGGAATTCACTTTTGATTGAAGTTGCAACAGTAAAACCTGTTAATTGTTTTAAAGTAGTTCATGAATGCTGTTTAAGAATTAGCTTTGGTTGAGAATGAACTTTGGTTGAGAATGAACTTTGGTTGATGGAACTAGAGATTATAGCACATTTAAGCAGCAACCATGACAACCATGATAGTATTATAGAAACGAGAAAGAGATGCAACAACAACAACCGAAGAGATGCTTAAGCTTAGCAGATGAAGCAGTTCTAACTACATTTACAATGGGTTTTCGGACCTTGTCTAGAAGAGAAAGAGCAAATATGACAACAGCATTCTTTACATGGACAAACAAGCAATTTGTAAAGGTAGAGAATAGAATCAGGAATAAGAAAATGGAAACCCTGATAAAGCAAAGCAATCTTAGAGTATGCTAACTTGATAATCAATTGTATATATGGTTTTCATGAAAGGTCAATAGTGAAATAATAATCTAAGAAGATATAAAGAAGAGAAATCAGCAAGTGTTTTCATCAATATAGGAATGTTGCCAACAATAGTTGTTTGCAGTAAATAACTGATTTTACTGGAGTTAGTATTCACATCCGCTAAAAGCCCCAGACTGTTACAGAAGTGAGATCATAAGCAATTGAAAAGAGACTTTTTGTCAGGACAAAAGTATAAAATTGAGTCATCAGCAAATAGAGCCATTTTAGATGTGAGGTTGTCAAGAAAATCATCAATCTATATTTCTATATATAATAATAATAAGAATAAAATATCTATATTTCTATATATTAATAATAAGATAAGAAACAAAATAGGATCAAAGAGTATTCTAGAGGTAAATTTGAGGTACCCTAGAAGTTACTGGAAACTGGAAAGAAGAGTGTTGACCTTTGAGAATGACTTTAATAAAGCGGTTAGAAATAAATGATTAAATATTTTAAAAAACTTTGCAAGATATACCATATGAAACAAGCTTATGGAGAGTACCAGCATGCCAAGCCTTATTGAAACTTTTAAATATGTCAAGAGCTATAGCTTTTGCCTTGCCGTCTCTATCTGATGCACAAAAAAATCTTTCATTAAAAACAGTTAGCAAATCAGCAGTAGAGTGAGAAGATTGGAAACCATATTGATTGCCTGATTGTAAGTTATTTGACTCAAGATGGATGTTAGAAATTTATTGATCAAAAAATTAAAGACTTTGCTAATAACAGAAAGAAGATTGGAGGATAGTTAAAGGGTTCTAAATGTTACATATACACAGTTCATGTTTAAGTAAATAGACACACTATAAGATGTTAGTTCTTAGCTAACATAGTGTGTGGCCTTGGCGCAGTGGTTAAAGCGCTTGCTTTATAAGCAAGAGACCCAGGTTCGAAACAAGGTCTGGACATACTTTTGCATCACGGTAAGGAAGGAGGAGTGAACTTCTTGGTTAAATGCACTTCCGCGGTATTCTGTGACAAAACTGTAAGGTCTTCTTGGGGCACCTAAATAACAAAAACAAAACAAAAACATAAGAAAAACTATTAGGTGATACTATGTTTTGTGATGTTTTGTTTTGTAGAAAAAACACAAAGTTATCAACGCTTGTAAAAATTAAAATTATTCTAATCAAATGTTAGTATTTGGTTGGCCGCTTTAAGCCGCTATTACAGCTTTAAATCTATGTGACATCAATGCTATCATTACAAGTACTGTCTTCAGCATTTGAGAATAATAATTCTACACATAAATGGTCTTTTCTAAGAGTTGCATTTGATTTTTATCAGATCTTTAGCTACATTTTCATCAACTCCAAAGTATTTTAAATAGAATTTATATTTGAGTGATTATTTGGCCAACAGAGAAATAATTTCCTCTAACTATTATTATTTTTATTCATTATTATTATTTATTATAAATCAAAAATTACAAATTTAATTATAATTTACAAATTTAGGTTCGGTGTCACTCATATAGTTAAAAACTAGTCAATGTAGTGACACCTTAATAAAATAAAAAAATAAAATAAAAAAATATTAAAACAAGGAAATAATAAAGAAAGTAAACTACATTAATACAAGTAATAAAAAACGAAACATAAGGAACAATAATATTGAAAAAGTTGGAATTAAAAAAAAAAAAGTTGAACAAAAATAAAAAGGAATAACACTAAGAAAAATGAAAAAAAAAAAAGAGAGAGAATGAACAGATGAGATAAGATGAGTAAGAAAATATGTGAGAAAACAAAAATTTAATCACAAGTTTAAAAGAATAAAGTGACAAAACAATTTTCGCAGAAAAATATAAAAAAGCAAAATAAAGGCAAATTTAAATAAAAAATATATACATACACTACTACATATAATATTAAAGCCTATATTACGCATTACATAGATTAGTAAAACAAAAGTAAATATCAAGATAAAGAAAAAGAAACAACAACTAAATTGACAGAGAAAAATGCAAAAAAATAAATACATTCAACATTTTTTATATACATAAATACTTGACATATAAACAATGTACAAAATTAATTAAAATTGTTTTTTTCTTTTTTTTCCATGAATTTTTTGAAAGAGCTAAAATTTTCTATTGGTGATAGAAATTTTTTTAGCTCTTTCAAAAAAGCTTAAAAAGACCATGCAGTATTTCAGTATTGCAACTTAAATCTCTTAATTTTCTTTGAACAATGAAAAAACATTTAAATAAGCATCTCTGAGTTGCAATTTTAACAGTTTTGTGGAAGCAAATCTTTTTTCCAGACAAATTTTTTTTTAAGCATCTTTTTGACTGGAGTAATAAAAAGTTTTCTGTTGCAGTCATTGTTACATTGAAATGGTTATATTCTTATATTAACAGAAACTCACTACTAAACAGATTGTTTTTGTTTTTTTTATTAATTGGTGGACAACAAACATATGGCTGTATGAAAATGTTAATTCCATCGTATTTAATAAGCACTGTTTATGAATATATAGTGTTTAAATGAAAATGGTTTTACTTTATAAAAAAGTTGGCATAGTAGCATCCCATCTAATCACATATAGTTAAACATCTACTAACTTTTGTAATAGTCTCACATAAATAAAATGACTAATATTTAACTTGACTAATTTCTAAGAAAAAAATACCTGCTAGAAAGCCTCTTCCTTTTTATTTTTTGGTGTTTTTTAACAGGTTTCTCATCAAAATCATCTGGAATCATTATTGAATGAGAAAAAAGATGAATACCTTAAAAAAATACCAAAATATTTTAAACACACTTTCTACATATAAATTTTTATTTATTTAAAAAAATATTTTTTGCATCTATCCATCAAAATATTTTATCTAAAATTATCTAATTTGTTAATATCAAACAGAGATTAAATACAGTACTTTTAATTGATAAAAAACTACAAAATACAACTCTATGACTGTAGGACTATAAAAAAATATTCTCTATTATATAACTAATTTTATACATGTAAGGAAATTAAAGAAAATTTGAACTGACATAGATGCAAAAGCTGTAGAATATTTTAAAACTAAAAATTTTAAGAAAGAATAGGAGAGAAAATTACACAAAACAAGAGTGTGAAAAAGAGGAAAAGTTCAGATCAATTATTATTTTTTACACACTTTTTGTTTTGTTGAAAAAAAGTTAACATGTAATACATTGTCAGACTTATTACTTATCTCAACAACCACACCTGTTTTAAAGCTTTAGTCTTGGTTTATATCTGTTACAAGTAAATAAGACTTAGTAGATGCTCAGTAAGTGCTTATACTACTATGTTTGGGCTGTAACTAAACATTGATTTAATACACCTGCTGGTTGAAGTAGGAGAGACAAGTATATTAGCTAGCTATAGATTAATTTATTAAGAAAAAAATTAAATTTATTTTTTTATTTATAATAAATTATTAAAAATGAAATAATAATAAAAAGAAAAAACAGATTAATAACCAGCCAGTATTGATTTAAAATTAACTAAAAATAAATTTTTTATTTCAAATAATAAGTCACATCTCCATTTTTATTTCAAATAATAAGTCACATCTCCATAATTTAGCCAATCTCAGGTTGAGATTGCTTCAGAGTAAAGTATTTAAGTTAATCATAATCAATGCCTCCATATTAAAAATTGAATAAAAATATAAAAAACTTACATAATGGACATATCTAAATTAAAACTAATATTTTTGTTTGAAAAAATGATGTCACCTTCTGATTTTTGAATTTGATTAGGTGCATTGGCTAAAATTTAAAAACAATTCGAAAACCATATTTGGAAACAAAATTTATGTTTTATGCAGAAACTTAAAATATAAAAATAAATATACATATATATTACATTTAGATTGATCAAATATCTTTTCTTTTAATGTCCTAAAAATAAGGTTTAAAATATTTTGAGCAACAACAAAAAAAAAATTCATTTATTTTGCTATATATTTTGAACAACATGTTCAATATTCTTTACCCAAACACAAAAAAGTTTTTTCAAAATAACATTCAACTATGTAATCAAAAAAAGATAAAGGTTTTTCTGTGGTTCAAAAGTTTAAAAACATTTGCAGTTTTATTAACTAAAATTAACATATATGGTTTTAAAAAAACAGATTTAATTTCAAAATCCCATATACTACAGCCATATGGGTATGTATATGCAATAACTAAAAATTAAAAGAATTCAGAACATAATTTGAATTTAAAAAAAAATTACTTTAGGATTGTTTCTAATTTTAAAACTAATTTCCACAGTTCTCATTGAAAGAATTTCCACCACTGTTCTTATTGGAAGTGTTTCCACCACTGTTCCCATTGAAAGTGTTTCCGCCACTGTTTTAATTGGATGTGTTTCCATCACTGTTTTCATTGGAAATGAAGACAGATTAGCAAAAGTTATGGCCAAAAGTAATAATATAAACAAAAGTAATTGTTAAAATTTTCTAAAGAGCAAAACATAGTTTCCGTTTACTACAAATTGCTTATGAAGATTATTTTTTGAAGAAACAGTGCAACTTTTGCTTGTAAATATTTTTAAAGAAACAGTGCAACTTTTGCTTGTAAATATTTTTGAAGAAACAGTGCAACTTTTGCTTGTAAATATTTTTAAAGAAACAGTGCAACTTTTGCTTGTAAATATTTTTATTGAGCAAAGATTGACCAATCATTTTTTGTGTGCAATTTTGAGTTTTACAATAATTATTTAAAATAGATGAGAATTTTCAAACAAATGTTATACTGTAAAACTAGGTTAAAGTGCTAAATTTCTTTTTTAGCTCAAATATCAAATTTATAAAATTTTACAAAACCAGAATAAAGAAATACATTTAGAAAAAAAAATAATAATAAGAACTTAAAATTCATCAATAAAATTCCAACTTAAATATTTAATAAAATCATAATCAATAACAATTATTAGAATACTTTATAGTTAAAGAAAAAAGTATTTTAAAGTTAAATTTTTCAAAATGACTTTACACTTTTTTCATTTTTTTTTCCTTTTACTTGAAAACTTTGAAAGTTCAAAACAGAAATATATTAAAATATTATATAAAATATAAAAATATTTTAAATACTTTTAAATCCAAGACATGATGTATTACTTATAAGTTCAAGTAAACTACTTAGTACTTAGTACTTAGTACTTACAAGTAAACTACTTAGTACTTAGTACTTAGTACTTACAAGTAAACTATTTGTAATAAATCTTTTTTAATCAAAATCTGATGAGACCGTTTTGACAATTTTTTCAATTATAGTTTTATACATTTTAAAGTTTTTCCATTTAGTTTTTAAATAAAAACTAAAACTTAAATTAATAATTGCTACCAATAAAGGAAATAACAAACTTACTTGTCTAGATAACTAGATAGTTTGATAGATACAAATTTTTGAACTTCAGGTGTTATTTTTAAAATGTTTATATCTTCATTGTCTTCTTTAGAAGCTCTGTAACATAAATATTTTTAATGTGTTTTATAATAAAAAATCAATAGTTTGTGTATAAAAACTTAAGTTTTTAATATAATTGTACAGTTACTGTTTTAAAATATTAAAACCAAAGAGTAATGTTTTAGCTTGCCCAATCATTAGATTATTTTAAAAAAACACCATTTAAAAAAAAAAAAATTATTTGAAATACATTATAAATAATGTAAATATGAACTATTTACAGAATAAATTTGAATAAAAATAGAGAAACTAAAACGACTACTTTCATTAAAAGATTTTTAAAGTAAAAAATCAAGTGTTTATGAGTATAGCGTGTATATATCATATATAGAGGTACTTTTAAAAAATTAAAGGCCAATTAACTTTTTAGAAATAATTGACACAAAAGAAAGTTAACAATATGTTCATAATGATTTTATAAACCTTTTTCTTTTATCTTTTTTTAAAGGGTATTAAGGATTATATAAGGGATTGTAATCACTTGATAAAAGAATTAAAAAAAAATAAAAAATTTCAATATACTATAAAGTAAATTTTAAAAACTTTTTTAAAAAATTGACAAAATTCTCAATTATTGCATTCTTTAAAAAAGTTCAAGGATTACAGAATTATCAATAACAAGTAAGAATGTTCAATGTTAAAAACCAGCACCTGCATTAGGACTGCCGATTTGAGCTATTTTGGAAAAATATCTAAAACTTATTTATTATTTAGTAAAAAAATGAAAAATAAAAAAGTTTATATTAACATTATTTGTTTTTATATGAAACAAACTTTTATCTGTCAAAACAATCAATGTACCTTTTGCTCTCACTGTCTTTATAATTTTTTGATTTATTCTCTCTAACATGATCTGATAACTGTTTAGCTAATAGATTTATAAAATACATACTACTTTATAATAATTTTATGACAATTGTTATATCTATAATAATAATTTCTTTTTTTATTATCTAAAATATTCATACATTCTAAACTAATTATTTTTAATGTTGAATATCAAAAATTACAAAGTTTTCTTTTAACCTATTTCAAACCCATTCACAGATTCTCGTATTCTTCTTGCTTCTTCATCATCTTCATCACTTGAAGATGAACTCATAACTATTCAATATCTAATAACTTTAATATTTTGAAATATTTATTTAAAAAACAGTGTGCATTTCTAAAAATAAATATGTATCTATGATATAAAAGATACATAGTAACAAAGTTACTATATAGCTTTTATATCATAACATATCACACAAATATACAACATAAAAAAGACAATAAAATATTATAGTAATAAATCTTTTTTTTTTTTTTTTTTATTTATAAACTTATAAAAAATTTTTTTCAATAACTCTTTTGCTTCAGGAATTTTCTAAAACCTTTCTATGTCTTTTAAACTGTCTTTAAATTTGCCTTTGATGCTTCATCTAATGTAATTTCTTTAAATATTTTTGGTCACTTTAAAAATATAAAACACTTTGGTCATATATTTGATTAATTTTTAAAGAACTTTTACATTTAATTATATTTTATTTTGATGAATAAACTTGTAAATACTGATATATAATGGTAATTATTAAAACTACCCCAGTATTAATTAAAATGTTTGTTTGAAATGTAAAAAAACATTATTTAGATTTATATTTAGTATTTTTTAGATTTATATTTAGTATTTAGATTTATTTAGTATTTTTCTTTGAGCCTAAACTATTATTATGATAATGTATCAACACTGATTATCACATTATCATGACAGCGTGAAAATCATGGATTTAATGTTTTACCTCTTTTAATTGACTGGTTGTTTAAAATTTCATAAGACAATCAGTTACTTTTAAAAACTGTCAAAAAGCAGTGAGCAAAACAAAAAAAAGCCAATTGATAGATTTAACAAAAATAATTGAAAAATTGTGTGAAAAGTAATAATATTTTATTTAACAGGTGCTAATGGATTGAAGAGTATGGTGATTATGGAAATTGTGTATAAAAATGTTTATAATGAATTTGCATAAAAATGTAAATAAAAGCTAATAAACTAATTTGCAAAAACAAAAACTAAAATAAATAATTATTAGATTTAATTAGTTATAAATAAAAGCATTTAAAATTGTGGAAAACTTAATTACTTTTTGAACAATATAATTTTTTTTTTTGCAAACAGGAATTTTTTTTGGGTAATAAATGTAATTTAGAAAGGAGTTTTCTTAAATATAGCAACAAGCATTACTTGGGAAAACTTTCCTGATCGGAAATGATAAGATAAAATAATTTCTTTGCCATTAAACTTTATTTCTGATAGGAAAGGATAAGATAACATAACTTATTTCACTGAGAAAATTTATGGTTTGCAACAAGTTATTTGTCAAGATTTGGTAACTAAAAAATTTTTAACAATATATAACAATATATAACAATATATAACAATATATAACAATATATAACAATATATATATATATATATATATATATATATATATATATATATAGAGAGAGAGAGAGAGAGAGAGAGAGAGAGAGAGAGAGAGAGAGAGAGAGAGAGAGAGAGATACATAGATATATATAGATATATATAGATATATATAGATATATACATAAATACATATATATATATCTATCTATATCTATATATATATATAGGGCCGGATTTATCAATAGGCTGACTAGGCCGCGTACTAGGGCCCCGCAATTATAAGGGCCCCAATATGTTGAAATTGTTGTAAAAATTAACCTAAAATAGACATAAAAATATACTAATTATTTTAATATCATGTGTTACATAGTTATCTTTTTCAGGCATTCTCATGATGACATGCTAGAAACATCTCTATTGATTCTCTGCTCAATTAATGAGCATACAATAGCACAAAGAACATTGTGTTTTGATACAGCAGCATCAAACACATTGTGTTTGATGCTGCTGCATCAAAACACAATGCTGCAACCTGATCTCTAATACCCCAAGCCTCCAAACATCTCCAAACATTCAATAAATGCAAATTCTTGTGCTTCACCTGTTCCGGATGTTTTAAAACGTCCAATAGTTGCTCAACACCAACATCCAAAATCAAGACAGAAAGATGATCTATGTGTCCATGAGTTTGCTGTCCCAGCCAATAATTAAAGGCACACTTGTTGAAAATTCTGATCTAATATTTTTGGATTTTGTTGTTCGATGACTTGCTCTAAACCTTTGTATTGAGTTCTGATAAATGTTTAATGTGTTCAGATTGTGCCCAAGTCTTGATGCCATTTCACAGAGAACATATGCTGCGTTTCAGGATGAGATCTAAGTTCTATCTAATGTAGATGTAAGTCCAGGAGACATTATGTTGATTCTAGCTCTTGTAGGCATTATTAATTTGTCACCTCTACTATTGTCTAAATTTTCATTATTATAGATTTCTTTTGATGCACTGGATGAAGTTGATGAATCAGAAGCATGTTCAAACAACCTTGTTTGAACATGCTTCCAGTTCTTCTTGGGATAAATTGTGATGCTTCAATTACTTTTCTTTTCTTTAGCATGTTTTCTTTGATGTGTTTCTACTTTATCAGAGGCACCAATTGAACCTGATGGACTTTTATGTCTCTGAGAGAGGAGAAATGCTCTCTCTTCAGTAATTGAAATCATATTGAAATCATATCAACTTTATCGACATCCAATTTGCCTATACAATGTTTGGCTGCTCGACCAGGTATTCCAACCTTGATCCAAAATGCTATCACAACTTCGATAACCTTTCAATCAGAGTCACGAATAGTTAGTTTTTCCACTATGTGAGGAGGTATTAAGCGGCCAAGAGCTTGGCAATTTAGTGGCAACTTTGCTCCATGAATTTCAGATTCATAGGAACCAATAAGGTACACATTTTGTTTACCTCTAGTTTCCATTATATATACAGAAAAAAAAATTTACTTACTACTTGCTTAGTGCTTACAATTACAGAGTTTAAAGTATTAGTACATATTACATACTACAGAGCTAATAAATTCATTGTTATAATTATTTAATGTATAATAAATATCATTTTTAGAAGTTCAGAGAAGTAATGAATTGAATGGATAGTTGCCTTTAAAAAATTATTTTTTTTTGAAATAAAATTAAGAAAAGAAAAATACTTTGTAAACAATTTTTTTTGTAGAAGATGTCAACAATTAAGATGGCTGCCAATCACATATCAAAGAACTGGAATAAGATTATTTTTTAATAATAATAAAGGAGCCTCAGAAAGAATATAAAACTTTTTAAAATTGAAGTTAACTGATAAAATAAATCTTAAACATAAACATATCAAATTTGCCGATTTGACAAATTGGACTATTTCACCGAAATTTCAAGCTACCCCTAATTATCTCCCAATTGCAATGATTTTTTGTATAGATTTTTTTTTAATAATTGCCACAGACTAGAAAGGTGACAGGACATGATTTAAAAAATCTTAAGCCCTATTATATATATATATATATATATATATATATATATATATATATATATATATATATATATATATATATATATATATATACATATATATATATATAAATATATATATATATATATATATATATACATATATATATATATATAAATATATATATATATATATACAAATATATATATATATATATATATATATACAAATATATATATATATATATATATATATATTTGTATATATATAGTTCGTCAATTTGTATATATATATATATATATATATATATATATATATATATATATATAAATTGACGAACATGCAAACATTTGTTAAAAAAAAAGACAGAAAAACAAACGCCACATTTCCTTGCAAACGTTAGCATTTGCTTAAAATTTTTTAAAACAAATGCATAACTTCAGGAATTTTTTTTCAAAATAATTATGCGATTGATAGCTTTATATATATATTTATTATAAAAAAAACATAACTATTATAAAAAAACAATAAGTTACTAAAACTTAAAACGTGTTTTCAACAACTTTTAAAAGAAACCATGCTAATACTTTCTTCTTATAATAACTTATTAAATACTTAATATTATATTATTATTATATGTCTTTAAAAAGTAATGTCAAAACAACTTTTATTTTATTTTTAGTTTCCTTTTATTTAAATTTCTTTAAGTTATACGTTTTTTATAAGTAATTTTTTACAGTCTTGCATGGGATATTACATTTTATGTAGATTGCTACACTGCCTTCTCGGTTTTTGTTATGGAGTTGGTAACCGGACAGTTGAGTGTCTGACATTTGATCAAACCAGGTCTCAGTTAAGAAAAGCAATTGAGGTTTCTTTTCTTCTCATTATCAATTCTTGCATTATCAATTCTTCGCAGTTATTGCATATGTTATCATTAATTTGCTCGCGCCTTGCAAATGCATGAAAAATTGTTTTAAAATAATAAAAAATTGATAAAATTCAATAAGCATCTTTGATATATCTAATTATTATATAATATATATCTTATTAACTAGAACAAAAGTTATTTGAAAATAAAACCCCCTTATAATTTAATAAAAAAATATTTGAGCAAAAAAAAATAAAAACTGAAAGAATTGCTGACGACAGGGGTTTTGAAGTGGAGGTGCAACTATCTACTTCTAAAAACAAGTCCTCCATATCTAGAAATTCTCTTTTAAAAAAAAAAGGCCCTTAAAAAAAAGTGGGGAAAAGTGAAGGGGTTGCCCCCTCCCCCACGTTGTCGGCCCTGTTATTTGACATGCTTCTTAAATTAAACGTTCATCAAAAAACAAAGAAACAAACGTAAACGTTTATTTAAAAAAAAAAACATATATATATATATTTTATATATATATATTTATACACACGCACAAATATTTATATATATATATATATGTAGTACACACAAATATATATATACATATATATATATATACATATATATATATATATATATATATATATATATATATATATATATATATATATATATATATATATATATATATATATATATATATATATATATATATATATATATATATATATATATATATATATATATATGTATATATATATATATATATATATATATATATATATATATATATGTATATATATATATACATATATATATATATATATATATATATATATATATATATATATATATATATATATATATATATATATATATATATATATATATATATATATATATATATATATATATATGTAGTTGTTTACAAAAACAAAGAAAACAATAAAATATATCAATAAAAAACCTGCAAAATAAAAGATAAAATAAAAAGATCTAGTAGTAACTAGATCTAAACTAGTATAAGCTCAAAAATTGCAAATAAATAGTATACAATATTTCTCCAAATGGTACCTTGTTCTTGCTTTAAGATATTTATATAGCTTATTGCAATTTATTGTTTATCCAACTCCAAATAGACTCAACTTTAAAATCCAACAGCCCTGGGCATAAAATCTATTTTATTTTATTTTATCATTTTATGCTTTCATTGTATGAGCTGTTTTGGCAGGTACTATATTTTGTTGAAAGTGTTATCATTTATTCCTTTTAATTAATCCGCATGTCTTGCATGGTTGTAGAATATTTTTTTACATATACTGTAGTTATAAAGAGAGAGCTAATAAAACAGACCAGAATAATTTTTTTTTAATAATAGACTGTTTGCCCAAACCAAACCCTCAGTCGATGTAGCGACACTTCCTTGTAGCCCCAGGCTATAAGTTAGTCAATGTAGCAGCACTCCCTTGTAGCAGCAGGCTAAGATAGTCGATATAGCAACTTTTTGCGCATGTTTTAAAAATAAAAAAAGACGCTATTAGTTTTAAAATTTTTTTTTTTTTAAGATCAATAAAATTTAATGTACTTCCTCATTATTTTAATTGTTTTAGCATTAAATTGTAGCTTAATTGTTAAAGTCGCTTAAATGTTTTTGAAAATATAGTGTTTTTAAAAAATAGGGACAGTAACATTTTAAGTTCGTTCTTTTTCAAACATCATATAAATTTGAAGAATATATATACTTTTTAATTTATTTACCAGTAGTATTAAACACAAATATAAAAGCAATTTATTATTAATTTAATTCAATCTTTAATTTCTGTTCTAGTTGTTTCAAATCTATGATATTTATAATATAATCATTATATTATTTGTTTCGACAGGTGTAACTATTAAAAAATAAAATCTATAAATATTGTGAGACTAATATTATGATTATTCAAGTTTTCTGTCAACTTTTTTTTCTTTCTAAAAATCAAATCTTTTTCATGACAAATTATTTTCATAGGTTTTATAAACAACCTTCAGCAACAACTCTCCTTGGCCATTAGTAAACTATAGGGTAACTCATTATAATGATGAGTTTAAAAACAAGATCATTTCTTAAAGTCTCTTGAAAAAATGCCCTTCTGTTTGCTTGCATAATAACTTCCTGAAGATTTAAGCTGTTGACTGTAATTTAAAAGCCATTCATTTCAATTCAAAGCCATTCATTTCTTTTACGCTGTTGGATATTCCAAGGAAAGAATCAAATCCAATAAATTTTGGCTAATGAGCGTAAGAACTTTGTTTTTCGTACTTCTGCTGACAAATCATGTATTTGCGAACTGTCCCGGTTATTTAACTCTGGTTGACCAAGAATTTTCACCTCAAAATAAAAAAAATAAACATAAGATAAAAAAAAAAAAATAACAATTATTACAAAATAGATAATATAAATAAAAAAATAAGATTTAAAAGCATTAAAAAATGTTAAAGAGTAAATACAAAAACAACTATTTTTGAAACTGATTTTTTTACTTACTGCAAGCTTTCGTTTTTCTACTTCTCCTCTTTTAGCATGACAAACTTCCACAACAGTTTAGGAGTTTAAATGCATATATGTACAATACACAAAAAAAACATACTTAATATAATATGTATATATAATATAAAATATACGCAACATTGAAATAGCGTTTCAAAAATAAAATTAAATCTATTGCTTAAATTAATATATATATATATATATATATATATATATATATATATATATATATATATATATATATATATATATATATATATATATATATATATATATATATATATATATATATATATATACATATATATATATATATATATATTAGAGTGCCTCTAAAAACAACTTTTTTTGAAATTATCTGCTGCCATCCCCTAAATGTGTTCTATGTATTAAATTAACACTAAATTAGAAAAAATTTTAAACAAAAAAAATTTAAAAGTCGCTCAAGACCCTTAAACATCAAACGGGTCCTGAATATTTTGAAAAAAAAAGTTCTTCAAAAGTCTATCATGTTGGGTCTCAAAAGAAGTGAATTTTCATAAAAATTTTAAAAATAATAAAAACAATTTATGGAAACACAAATTTAAATAGTTTATTAAACAAAAAACTTTTAAAATATGTATTTTTAACTTTTTGTTAAAAAATGGTAGTTTTTAAGCTATAAAAATCAAACTAGCAATTTTTATACAAAATGATGATTATTTTTAAAATTTTTATAAAATTTCACTTCTTTTGAGACCTAACATGATATACTTTTGAAGAACTTTTTCAAAATATTAGGGACCCATTTGACGTTTAAGGGTCTTGAGCGACCCCTAAAATTTTTTTTTATTCATAAATTTTTTAATTTAGTTTTAATTTATTACATAGAACACATTTAGGAGGTGGCAGCAGACAATTTCAAAAAAAGTTGTTTTTAGAGGCACTCTAATATATATATATATATATATATATATATATATATATATATATATATATATATATATATATATATATATATATATATATATATATATATATATATATATATATATATATATATATATATATATATATATACATATATATAATATACAAAACTTACTTAAATACTCAAAATGTTATAATTTTCAAAGTGAAAAAGATACAGATTAAATATTCTATAATATTTACATCCCACAGACAGTCATAAAAACAATCGGATCCATCATCACTAAAATATCATTAAACTATTTCTCAAAATTTTAGTTAACTATAGACTATGTTAAAATATTTAGTAAAATTAAGTATAAATAATTGTTTAAAATTTTTTTAAATTTTTTTAAAATTATTTAAAAATTATTGATAAACTATTATTAACTTTGTCTAATTATTATTTTTAATTTTAGCAAGATGATGAATATGATCATTTGCAACTTTATATGTAAAAGATACTGTAAATGCATAAGCAAGTTTAATCAAATCAACTTTAATTGCATAAGCAACTAAGTAACTTTAAGTGTATAAGCAGCTTAAGATGTATTAGCAATTTTAAAATGTAAATCAAACTTTAATTCCAATTTTTACTTCCAATCAAGTTTTATTTATTATTTAAGGGGGCATTGATAAAGTACGTACCCAGTATAACCACTGATTTAGGACCTCTCCCTCTTGTACGAACCCATATGCTTTTGAAGAATTCCCCTCTGCGTACGTATGCATTTTTCTTTTTCAAAATAAAGACCCCACCCCTTTCCCAATGCATAAATATTTCAAAATATTAAAAAACAAAAAAAACATTTAGCTTATTTGACATTTCTCTGAACTTAATTAAAACTTAAAACTTAATGTACTTATTTAAATCTTGAAATGTTACAACATATAGAGAATGTTACAACATTTACAATGTTACAACAAATTTTAATATTTTAAGAAAAATGATAAAAACCAGTTAGCGTACAGTAATATAAAAGTAAGAACTCAAAAAAAGTTTGCTTTTATTTAACATCTTTTTGCTTCTTATCTCGCTACCAAACAAATTACGCTGCGAAAAATAAAAAATATTATTTTGAACAGTTGCTGCTCAATTTTTTTTTTTCCACATTGTTCATAAAGATATTTAAAAAAAGAATTGTAAATGAAGTCAGAAAAAAAAACACAATACTGATTTATTACACACATGAAATTCAATATTTTAAAAATATAGAAAACAAAATCAATTTTAGGAGAGATAGACAAACTGGATAAGTGCTCACTGTCTTTAACACTCCCTCCTCCTCTTGTGCGCATATGCTTTTGAAAAACCCCCACCCCTCTGCCCCCATATTTGCGTATGTACTTTACGGATGCCCCTTAATCAGAATTTATATAATCTCAAGTGAAATGAAAATGAATTTTAATTTACTGTATATGAATGAGGTGGTAGTGTGCTTTAAAAGTTGAGGTCACTTTTTTTTTTAAGTCATGGTCACTTTTTTTTTCAAAATAAAATAATAATTAACGTAAATACTCAGAATTCATTTGTAGCATAACTTTTTCCGCATATTTTACCTAAGTCTCTCTTGAGCAGCTTTAAAAGCAGTGTTATAATCCACAGGATCTGTGAACTGACATAAAATGATAACCTATAAATACACCAAAAATTGTCATTTAAAAAACAGTCTTCATAAAGTTTTTTTAAAACCTAAGGAAGAAATATCTTAATCTGCTTTGAAAACTTAATCCTTTGACAAAAAAAAAGTTTATTCTAAATATATTTTAATATTTAACCATATATATAAACCTTTTAAACTAATTAGAAATCAATACTTATTTATGTTCAATTTTTTTAAAAACAATATTCTAATAAAAAATTTTAATTGTTTTTAGAATCTTTTTTTCTTTTACAAATATCTGTATTTTATACTAATTTTTAATATCTGTATTTTAAAAACTGCAGACTAATGTCATTAATGTCATTAATACAAATTGACAAAATTCTTATTAATGAATTATGGAAACTAAATAAATATTTTACATTCAAAATCTACCAATAAACTTTTATAATCTACTATTAAAAACAAGTTATTAAGTATTTAATATCAATGTTGCACCAATAGGATTTTTTTACAAGATAAATTAGTTGGAAATAATGAGGAATTAATGACCATAGTTACTTTATACTTCAACCCTTGAGATTAGGGTCGGCATTCGGCAATGCTGATCTAAAAGGGCAACGCTGATCTAAAAGTGCTTGAGGTCAGCAAACTATTACCAACCTCATTTTTCCTCATTCCGAGCATTGATACTTAAAAGCAGATAATTACAACATGTCATATAAAACCAGTATAAAAAAAACAAAATTTGATTTTTTAGGATAGGACTGACGTGCAAAAAGTAATGAAAAAGAAATGTATTATGTTCATCTGCCTAGAGGTTGCAACTTGAACAAGCTAGTTACAAAACTTACTTAAATACTCAAAGTGACAACAAACTTAACACATGCTTAAGATGCCAATAATGTATCAAAGTTAAATTTGTCAAGTTAAATCCGGCTATAAAATATTTAGATTAAGCAAAACAACTATACCAATCTTTAGGCAACAAAGTTTTGTAAACTGATAAAAAAAAAGACAAATTCAAATAATTCATGTTCAAGCGCATAGTCATAGTTAAAAATTATCTGGCAGTCAATACATAAGTAAACTATCTGGCAGTAATACATATGCAAGTCTTTAATGTAACCTTTGGTACCACTAGTATGTATCATAAAACAAGTATTTCTGAATCTTACTCACAAATCACAAAAGAAGATGGAAAATCTTACCATAATTAAATATAAAAAACTAAATCTGTCTCAACAATTTTAGATTTACAATACTGTTAAAAGTTAAAAAAAAACTAAAAAGTATTAAAAAACAAAACAAAAATACTTAGCATTACTTATTAAAAAACATTTCTAAAAAAAACTGACAACAACAACTATCCAAATATTTACAACAACAAAAAAAAATTACATTTTAAGGCTTATTTTTATAAATATTATGGTAATAATCTCCAGCTTCTTTTTGGGTCATTTTTTAGATATGCTTGTCAAATATAATAATATCATCATTGAAATTTTTAAAAATTAAAAAAAAACTTCACTGAATTTAGGAGTAAACAGATTCTATATGTTGACCAGCTTCACACCCTTTCCTCACACCCCTTCTTCATCTACTAGGCTGCCATAGATGTAATTATACAATGTTTCCATTTTAGAATGTTGAATTCTGGTTTTTCTTGTTTTTCTGTTTTTATGACTAGGCAACTCATTTTATTATCTCACAATTAGGGTAGCTCTAAAACTCAGTTTTATGGTTCTACCATGCCAGCTAGTAGTCAGTTTCCCAAACTCTGTGGTAGCTCTCAGAGAGGTTAATGCCATCAACAGCTGTAAAATATCAGATTATTAACAGTGCCATGTTGTGCATAGATGGTGTCCCTGGTTGTACTTTTAGTGTACAATGTTGAGGCCACATTTTGAGTACTTTGTTACAGCTTAGGGTTTATCAATAATGAGGCAATTGCTTGGACTTTCAAATAGTTTACTAAGTTCTATCTGTGTTTTGTTTTTTTAACAAATCTAAAAATGACTTAAGTCCAAAAAACTTTAAAACACAAAAAACCATTGTCATCAAGTGCTCTTAATCTATCATTCACTAGGAGATGTCTTTGAAGTAGCATTTCTTCTGTTAAATCTTATCACTCGCAAAGTTCACCAGACCTACTTGCTCTTTTTGAAACTAATTTGAGTCTCATCTTGTAATCTAAGTGTTGATGGTTATCTTCCTTTAATTCCTAAAGACTCCATTAGTCACATGCTTGGTTGGTCATTACATTCGTAATAATTCACCCATGTTTTATTTTTTTATGACTATTGCTTTATTTTATTCAATAACCTTGTTTAATTTTTTTATGACCATTGATATATGTTTTTAGCTTAATTTATGAAGTTCCATCATTAAAAAATACTCCTGAGGACATACCATAACTCTAGGACACCAAAATAACACACTGCAAAACACCCTAAAAAAGTCAGCAATAACATTTTTTCAGATAAATATACATAGTCAAAATTCATGTTTTTAGGGAAACCTTTTTTTTCATTTTTTAATTGCATGCTTTATCCATTAAAAATACTCCCATGTTCATTACTATGATGGCAATATAAACTCTAAGACACCGAAAAAGCACTTTAAAGCATGCAAATAAAAAATGTTTTTATATACAGGATTCTTATATAAAGTCTAAGTACATGTTTTTTCATCAGCTAGATAAAAAAATATTCCGAAAAATATTTACAAAATTATAAAATATATCAAGGACACAAAGAACACACACTGAAAAACATAAAAAAAAAGAAACTAAAAATGAAAGCTAGTAACTTTTTTAAATTAATTACATAGTCTTAATATTTTTTTGAAACATTTTTTTATGCTTCATAAATTAAAAAGATCATTTAATAACTGTAGAACACTAAAATGTTTGATTTAATTAGTTACTGTCTATTAAAAGTTAATATATGTTTTTAATTGCCATACATCTAAAGCGATAAATCTAGGGCCCCATAAAATTTTTAAATAAATGAAACAATTCTTTTTATTATATGTCAAATTTTAAATGCTCAATGATTTTGTTGTGGTTTTAAATACAAAGATTTGAAGACTAAAAACTCTTCAATTAAAAGCACTTAGTTAAGTCATTCCGCCATCAGCAAACTAATTTTGGTAATTGATAGCATCAGAGAAATGTCAATCACACAATTAGGAAACAATCAGATACCAAGCAATCATTAAAAAACAATTTATTTCTACCATCAAAATTTTATATTTTCATTTCATGATCATTTAAACTTATATAAACAGAGTAAATACTTTTATGATAACATTATTTTGAAATAAGAAAGTAAAATTAGTTATAAACAATTTATACAATTTTGTTTTTGTAAAACTAGTCTACGAGGGGGTGAATTTGCGTATAACAATATACAGACTGTGAAATACGGTCTAGAGTCCCTTTCGCATTTGGGATCATCAATTTAGAATTAAGTTGTAAATCAGCTTTACCATTAAGTTGTAAATCAGCTTTAACTCTGAAAGAATTTAAATTAAAAATCAAAATATGGATTTCAAAACACTGTCCCTGCAAATAATGTATGACCTATGTCAGAGACATTGGTCATTGGATTTATAAAGTCGCATATTTATTTATGCAAATTTTTAAAAAACTTTTTATTTTAATTTTTAATTTTGCTATTGATTTATTAAGTATTTTCTTAAATTTTTTTATATAATTGTTCGAGTTAACTTCAATTAGCCTAATATAGAGCTGATTAACTTTTATGTGAAAGTATCAACTATAAATAAATTGCAAATAAATAAATTTAAAATAAATAAATTGCAAATAAATAAATTTCAAATAAATAAATAAATTGCAAATAAATAAATAAATTGCAAATAAATAAATAAACTTTTATAGAGTAAATACTTTTTATTACTTTTTTTTTTTTTAACTAAAATGATATTCAATTTTTTTCAGCTAATCCTTATCACAATAATCTAGATCTTCCTATATTTATGAACAGTAATGTACTCAATGAATCATCTTCCCATCATCTTCATTATCTTTTTCTGTAACAGTATGGGACTCTCATTTTTTTCAGTTAATTGTATTTCAATAATCTAGATTTTTCTATATTTATGAACAGTAATATACTCGATGAATTGTCTACCCTTCATCTTCTAGAATCAACTCTTACTTTTCATCTTTCTTGAAAACCAAACAAATCAATTGCAATATTAGCATCTGCTAAGGCTGCATCTCTTTATCATACTAGACACATTCTTACTCTGGATTCTATTCTTTACCTCTATAAATCTCAAATCCGTCCTTGTATAGAATACTGTTGCCATATCTGGGGTGTATCATCTACCGATACCCTTTCTCTTTTAGACAAAGTGCAAAAACATATTGTAAACATAGTTGGACCTGCTCTAGCCACCAACTTTCTACCATTATCACATTGTGGTAATGTTGCTTCTCTTTCTCTTTTCTAAGATGAAAACTATTTATTCATGACTTCAGCTAAAATTGAAATTAATTGATGTTGTTATCCAACTATTTATTTGCTACTATTTAATTATATACTATATATAATAATTAATTAATTATATACTAATTATAAACTATATAAATATAGTACACAACAAACAATAACATAAGATTATTTAATTGAATATTACATTATAAAATTTTAAAAAATATTTTAGATTTTTATGAATGTATACTATCAAATCATTATGAACTTATAGTATACACCATGTATTTACATTCCTACTTATAAGTATAAACTGGAATGTTATCTTAAGAGATAACATTCTAGTTAGAGACACCAACAAACAAACCTTAATAAACAAACCTTAATAATTCATAGCTATTACAAATTTTAAAATTATTTTTTCTTTTATTTCAACAAATAAATATTTTTACACTTAATTAATAAACCATCAAGTAATGATCACATGGTCACATCACATTGTCACATCACATGGTCCATCAATATTAGGATTCAACTTGCCAAGTAATCTGTTAAATTCTGCTTAAGTTAGTAAAGTCAATTTTAAAAGTTTGAAAAACTGATTTTATTTTTTGTAGATCTCTATAGCTTTGTTTTTTAAACACTTGGGAAATCTTTGGAAAACTTTCAAGATTTGACAAAAACAAACATTCAATAAAGTTTTAAATGATACCTTCAAACATGACAACCATTATTTGTTTTTTTTTAACTTATATAAAAAATAAATTTATTATTTACAATATTTTTTTACATTTTATATTATAATGATAGTTCATGGTCAACCTGAGTATATGACTTTTGTTCTTGACAACATTTGATCATGCCTTTGTATACCTGTAGCAAAATATAAACACCCATATATATATATATATATATATATATATATATATATATATATATATATATATATATATATATATATATATATATATATATATATATATATATATATATATATATATGTATGTATATATATATATATATATATATATATATATATATATATATATATATATATATAATTAAATACAGAAATATATATATATATATATATATATATATATATATATATATATATATATATATATATATATATATATATATATATGTATATATATATATATATATACATATATATATATATATACATATATATATATATATATATATATATATATACATATATATATATATATATATATATATATATACATATATATATATATATATATATATATATATATATATATATATTTATATGTATATATATATATACATATATATATATATATATATACATATATATATATATATATATATATATACATATATATATATATATATATATATATATATATATATATATATATATATATATATATATATATATATATATATATATATATATATATATATATATATATATATATATATATATATAATTAAATACAGAAAAGTGCACAAATCATTTTTTTTTAATCATTAACTAGCTATAGATAGAATTTATATTAGATGCCAATAAAAGATATAACAAGTAAGGTGGATTAATTGTTATTGATTTACTGATAATAAAAACAAAAATGGCAAGTATGCCATATAAAAAAATGCATTCCATATAAAAATAAACAATAATAAGACAGTTTAGTGATAAGTTGCAAAAAATATTATTGTACCATTCGAAAAAACTTTTTTTTTAAATAACAAACTTACAAGATTAAAAAGTTCAATAGTACTAAAGTGTTAAATTCAAGAGTGTTCAAATCAGGAATATAACAAAGAAAAAAAAAGTTTGTTCAAACAGCAATCATCATAATATTTGTAGGAAAAAGTGATGACAATTATCAAAATCTTTCCTATGTTGCAAAATAAGACCTCAGTTTTATTTTCCAAAATGTAGTCTGGGATTTACTTTCACTGCACATGGTATTGGATGGTAACACAGTTATTTAGTTATCTAGATAGCTAATACCATGGCTAATACCATGTGGTATGAAACCTTTTGAATTTTAAAAGGCAGAATAATTGGCAAAACTTACAACAATGGTTTCAGTGAGATTTTGACAAATAAATTAATAATACTAAAACTAAACTGTGAACAATTGCTACAAAATACAAATGTCTACATTTAAACATTTAAATGTCAACATTTAAACATTTAAATGTCAACATTTAGGGAGCTTAATGATGACAAATCCCAAAGAATACCTTCAGGGCTTAACATACATCACCCAAAAGAGGACAAGGTAGTACAATAAAAAAAAACTATTCAAATCTAGAATTCTGAATAGATATCTAGAATTTATTTTATGTGTAATATAATCTCTTTATCATTCATTACTGGCTAACAGATAACATCATTTATCAGTGCAGAGGTATACTTTGGATTTAAAAAGATCTTCCTATACCCTTACAACCTTGTTGATCGAAATTTTCCACACATGTTGCAAAATACATTTGCAAATTGCAAACATCCTTTGATTCCATTTAAATCAAATAATTGCTTTTGGGGGTGAGAGTTGTGAAGTAAAGGTTTTCCTTAAAAAAAAATCAATACAAACGCTTTTAAAATATGTTATAGTTAACTCAGTATTGCAGGCTATTAAATTTTGATCATCTTAATATGTTAATTTTTCTATAGAATTATTTACATATATAAAATTTAAAAAAGCTGTTTTGTAATGCCCTATTAAAAACGGTTCTAATAGTAACGTTTCCGTATTGTTTACTTTATTTAGTGATTTCTTTATTTAATATAATAAAAAATAATAGAACCTGATGTTGCAAATTTTGATATTTATTTGCTTACTGTTAATAAATAAACATAAATTACTGTATCAGCAAATATCTAAAATATTGCTGAACAAAACAGTAAAAAGCAAAGAAAAACAAGACAATTTATTGAACCAGAAAACTATTTGTTGTTGTTGTTTGAAGAAATGCTTAAAATGTTTTCAAGTTGTTTTTTTAATAAAAATCACTTTCAAAAAATAATCAAAAATATTAAGTTGTTGTTGTGCTGACACTAATATTAAATTGTCTTGATACTTTTGTTTTGATAAATTGTCATAATATTTTTGTTTGCAATAATATTTTAATCTAATTTGGTAAAAAAAATGATGACACGGATTCAATTTAACAGCATACTTTCGAGTTATAGTGTATTGAGAAATAACACAACAATCTTTCAATTCAAATATTATTTGCTGGTGTACACAAATGCTTAACTTGATATTATTCAAATTAATGTTCCATTATATTCATTATACATTATATTACATTAAATTTAAACATTAATCTAAAGTAAAATTATTAAAAATTTTTAGAACAGCTTGCATAGAAAGCTGTAAACAGCTTGCAGAGAAAGCTGTTAACAGCTTGTAGAGAAAGCTGTAAACAGCTTGTGTAGAAAGCTAAATCAAAATAGTATTATAAAAAAGACTAAAATAACTGAGGGGGGTTTTTAAGAACACTGCTTTTCAAAACAATTGTCTAGATTAACATCATTCTGAAATGATGTTACAAATTTTTACAAATTCAACATAGGTTACAAATTTGATTAAAATCTGATAGATATGGAACTATTAACAGAGAAAAATTATATTTACCTTGTCATCCCAAACACTTGAATGAACTGACCGACTAAAAAATGATGTTGCAATAGAACCAAGCTCAAGATAACATTTCATAGCATTTTTATAATTTCCTTCATCTAAATTTAAAAAACCCAAACAACATTAAATAAAGCATAAAAAAATTATACCAATGCAAAACTCATAATAAAATACACCTCATTAAATAAAACTGCAAGAATTAAAAAAAAATACCTAGATATACATCAGCCATTACTCTCAGCCATGTGATATTTCGTGGATTTCGCTTTAAGCAACAATCACAAAGTGACTTTAAAATAGGCAATACTTTTGAAGGAGTGATTGGAATCTTACTAAACATATTAATGTTTAGTGTAAGTGCTTAATTATTTTATATTAAGAAACAAAAAACACAAAACAAGAACCGTTTGTTATTCTATGTATGTACATATATATATATATATATATATATATATATATATATATATATATATATATATATATATATATATATATATATATATATATGCAACCCTCGGAATTAGGAAAAATGAGGTTGGCAATATATTTCCAACCTCAAACTGTTAGAGGTCGGCTTAAGGTTATATATATATATAAAAACACAAAACAAGAACTGTTTGTTATTCTATGTATGTATATATATATATATATATATATATATATATATATATACATATGTATATATATATATATATACATATATGTATGTATGTATATATATATATATATATATATATATATATATATATATATATATATATATATATATATATATATATGTATATTTATATATGTATATGTATATATATATATATGTGTGTATATATATATATATATATATATATATATATATATACATACATACATACATATATATATATATATATATATATATATATATATAATATATATATATATATATATATATATATATATATATATATATATATATATATATATATAGAGTAAAGTAGTTTAATAACGCGACCCTTTTATATTTAGTTGATTATTATCATGTAAACTAAATCTTTTTTTGATTAGGTAGTCATCGGTATGATTATTTAGCTCTAGAAATATCATAGATTTATTGCTCACACCTAAAATAATTTTAAGGAAATATAATTTTTCTTAAAATGGTACTAATGGCGATATTAATAACATGCTTTTTTATATATTTTGTTATTCATAACACAGACTATGTTAAAGAAACAAATAAAAAATGAATCATTATTCATAAAATCATATTATTTGTTTTACTTTTTATTACAAATCTAATCGTTTAGTCACTTTTGCTACTTGATATACACCTTACTTTGAGAACGTTACACCTTTTCACCCTACTTTGCACAAAGTGCATAGGCTACTTTTTATGATAATTCCTATGAATACAGATTTTTCTTCAGAATCATTAACCTTCCTCAGAATTGTTAATATTTTTTGGACTACCTTGATTTTCATTGTCATTCTGAGAAGAATCATTTGAGTGAAAAGAGTATGAATCAGGGGGAATTGAAACTGGAAAGTTTACGGGGTTGTGAAGCACTGGCTTGGACACAGATTAAAAGTTGGGATATAATACTGATTTACAAGTTTTAAATGAAAATCCTTTTATTAGTGTCATGCCAAAGTAACAATCAGTAGCATGATTTGTTGGTTCGCACCATTATATCTCAAAAGGGCATTGACTTGTGTTTTGGTGATTTTTGCAACCATCCTGCTAAAGTATTCGCACAAATGGAGCAAATGATATTAGGTTTCCACTATTTCTCCGCATCATCAACATTGGAGTCGAAATAAAATTCATAAGCTTTTTCTAATAAAGGGGTCATTGTTTTCTGGTGCTCAACATCAGTAAAAAATCCACAATCCAATTACCCAGATGGCTATTTTAGTATGCCAACATTTATGATGTCATACAAAAATAACCATTATCATTCAAATCATTAATCACTCAAATGTTTCATATCATATCAGTGCAAAAATATCAAATGGTCACCAGAACTTTTTATAACCAAATATATATAAATAAATAAAATACAACTAATAAAGCAATAATTTTTTATTAGTATACAAACTAATACTCTTCGAAAACTTATCTGAAAAAATCTACTAGCATCCTAGTATTTGGCTCTGTAGATTTATTCACTTCTTTACCGTGTATTTTTTTATTTGTTGTGATAGAGTTGTGTGTGTAGTCCTGTGTCACAGCTTGATCAGCTTAGTTATTAACCATCCCCAGACTATTGATATTTTTACAAGCTTAAAATTTTTCATTCAATGCTACTTGTCTGGATCTCTTTGTTTAAGAAATTCAACATTTAGCCTAAAGAATGACAATGTTTTGCTATACACAATGTACTCAACTTTCTTCTCTAGAATAAAGGTTGGATTCAGTTCTGATTCAGTGCTTTCGCAGAGCATGTTTTTATAACTGCATTAATCATTCTTTTTTAAGTTCATTAGTTTTAAAGATTTTTAGCTTTTTTTAAATCTCATGCCAGTCATTTTCTTGCTTGAATGTATGTATAAATTTCTTAATAGTAACTTTAATTATTCCCTAAATAACACTTTCATGCTTCTTTGTTAACTCAGAGTGTCTGCCAATATCTAGAGTTGATCTATCCTTTCTTAATGTGTTCTCCCTGCTTTTCATTTCAGTTGTGAGCCACTTTGACCTCAGCAAGGATTAGGGTGTATTACATAGACAATATATGGTCATTTTATAATACTTAGGAGTTTACAACTAAGCTGGAGATGCTTTATCTTAAACTGGAGTGTCTGATATTTGCTCGATCAAATGCAGTTTTTAATTGTAACATAACAATAGGCAACAGATTCATTTGGTCACACTGTTTAAAATTAAATTCAGAATTGTGTTCTACCATTGTATTGGATGCTTTATCACTTGATTAATTTTCTCAACTAGTTTGCTGGTCCATTGATCTTTTTTCTGACTACTTGCAAATGAAATATAAATAGGTGTGTTTGCAAGTGACTGATCTGAAATATAAATGAAACAGCAATGGTTAAAGCTTAATGACATCAGTCAACATTGCATAAAAAAACCTTGTCAGAGTAAGAAAATAAGATTAGCATTTGGGGTGTATAAACATTTGGGGTGTATAAACAATGATTACAAAATTATATAAATGATTATAAAATTATTGACTATAAAATTAGTACTATTAGAAGTTGACTGTTACTTAATAGTATTTTATTTGTAACTGTTTTTCATTGCTTTAATTGTTCATTTTTTTCTTTGTCTATGTATAATATTGTTGACCAATGGTAAAAAAAAAAAAAAAAACAATTTAATAATTTAAAAAAAAGTAATAAAATTATTTATCTAACCCAACAAGACCAGTTGGCCATAGGTAAGTGTAAGAATCTTTTAACAGTAATTCTCCATCTGCCTGAAAAAATATTAAAATGACCAAAGTTTGAAAAAAATAAAAAAACACACTAAAAAAGAACTCATATTTAGACATTACTATATTTCTTTATTTCTTTTAGTTTTCAATAACTCTTTTTTCAAAATCACACTAGTCATAACGTTTGGTCAGGGTTGTCAATAAAACCCATAACTATAAAACTGTGCAACACAAATGCTTAAAAATGCATTTTAGATATGGCATTGAAACTTCAGCTTTTCAAATTTTTCCCATTGAGATCATTAAAATTTTTAAACATTTTTTTTAATGTAAAAAACATGCTGTATGATAATTCTTAATAAGTTGTTTCTACACACTTATTATTAGTTTACACACTTATTAGCTAAACATTTTGAAAATTTACTTTGATAATTTACTTTGTGTACAAATTTATGCAAAAAAAAAAACTAAACAGATTTTACTTTGTTGGAACTTAGTTTTCATTTTCAAAAAAAAAAAAAAAAACACTCATAATTTTTAAATCAACCAGCATGACAAAGACAAACATCAACCTTGCTAAAGCAACACTTTCAAGTTTTCTTTACCTTAAACATTTTTAATACCAAAAATAAAAAAAATTAAGTTAAAAGATTTTTAAACCAAACAAAATATATAAAATATAAATACTTTAGATGAGCAAAGAATTGAAGATACACATGAAAGTAACAGTGATAATATAGTGTCATCCTATCAAACAAAAGAAATTGAAATTTAAAAAAATTATGATAAAAAAATTTTAAATTTTAAGAATAATAACACAAATAAAAATTTTAAAAATGTTTTATACTAAGTATGAGCAAAAAAAAAAATAAAACAGCAAACTATTTTCCATTTAGTTACCAATCAAACTAAATAACTAACTTTAACTTGATGGATGAAAGATAACAAATCATCTCTAAAAAAAACCACAATCATACATTAGAAATATTATTTCAACAATATAGTTTATTTTATAATCATTAAATATAACTTATTATATTACTTACTATTGTATTACAATGTACTGGGTGATCAAACAACTTTAAGTATCTTTTCATAAAATTTGTTACTTTTAAAGTTTGTAACAAATTATAAAAAAAACTCTAAATATTATTATTTTTGGTTCTGTCTGTAATATGAACAAAATATTGATACAATGATGGTAGAAACAGATGAAAGAATCAGAAATCAGAATGAACTAATATCCTATCAGAATTATCAAAAGAAGAATAAAAAATAATGCAATATATAATGAAAAATATAGCAATAATGATAAAAATCATTAAAGTTTGAAAACAAAAGATTTTTTGTTATTTTAAAGTTTTAGCAAAAGTTTCTGAATCAGCCTCAAAACTAAAAAGATAGCAATATATATATAACCATATTATATAACCAAAGCTAATTCTCAAAAAGAATATATCCAGGAGATATATTCTTTTTTGAGAATTAGCTTTGGTTATATAATAACCAAAACTTTCATAATTAAAAACATAATAAAAAATAGTTTTATTATTATTAGTCTATTATTGATTAGTCACAAATTCATTTTTTTAAATTTTATTTTTATACACAAACCAATTAAAAAATAGAAGCTTAGATTTTTCATTCAGTTGTTTTTTTTGTAAAAAGGTATGATTGTTGCTATTTTACAAATGATCTAACCAAATATCTGCAAGTTGTTACAGTACAAAAAATAACCAAATATCTGCAAGTTGTTACAGTACAAAAAATAACCAAATATCTGCAAGTTGTTACAGTACAAAAAATTAAAACAATATTAACAAATGCATTTATGTTATTATTAATTGTTCACGCAATCTTGGTTTTTTTTAAAAAGTGTTGAAAATAAAAAGTTGAACTTGTTAAACATTTTATTTACAATATTATTTAAAGTTTAAACCAATACTTGAAAACCTTTATGAAATAAATCATTGGATAAATTTTTAACTAATTGGTAGTAACTTAAGTTTAAAATAAAAAAATAATAAATAAAATAATAAAAATACAAAAAATATTTAAAATACAACTATAAAATACATAACAAATGATTCTTAAAGTGATACATATTAGGCACAATTATAAAATAACACTTCAATTATACTTATTAATGTAACATTGTTGATAGTTCCATTCTCCCTTTCCATCAATTGGCTTTTTAATAACGCCATCCAAAATAATATTTAAAACTGTGAAAAAGATAATTAAAAGAATAATATTAAAAACTAAAATAAAACTATTATTAATCAGTTATCATTTGAGTTTACTAGTTACCAGCTTCCCACAGACTTTTAGCAGCATTTCTTAAAACTTCTAACCCTCTTTGAAGGCCACAAACTACAGATGAGAGATTAAAACCAAGCTAAAAATTCAATTTCAAACAGTAAAGTAAAAGTTGTATCAAATATAAAAATATAATATTGCTGAAATATATATATATATATATATATATATATATATATATATATATATATATATATATATATATATATATATATATATATATTATATATATATATATATATATATATATATATATATGTATATATATATATGTATATATATATATATATTTATATATATATATATATATATATATATATATATATATATATATATATATATATATATATATATAATATCGCTGAAATATCTCTAAATATGAATACTGTAAAAATTCAATGTTCAATGTTCAATGTCGCGTTACATCATCGTTTAATGTTTTTTCAAGTAGATTCTAGGCTTTTTTTAGAGCGCATTTTTTAAGTACATGCGGTCCACCCAAAAGGTCTACCGAGCCAGACCTGACGAACTTCTAACTTTTTAGGGAAATCATTTTTATATAGTTTCAATTTACATGTTTACTTAAGTTGAATTTTGCAATTTTATATTTTAGAACGTTGTTATGTTGTTATAAAAAGAAGAGTTAAAAGTAAAAATCTTATTTTTACTTTATAGGTTATATTTAATTTTATTAATTTAATTATTATAGATTAGCAAAAAAGAAAAATGAACGGTAAAGTTTTTATTTTAATCTTTTTCAAAACATTTTATTTGTTTAACATCAAAGGAGTCTTATTGTAAGGAAAAATGTAAACTATGTGAAAACTATTTGAACGATTTAAAAGATATAAGACTTATTAATAATCCTAATAATAATAATAATTTAAGTTACATTTTAAGTACATTATCAAGTATATAGATTTTTTTTTCTGTTTATTTAATGTGTAACTTTGATTTTTTGTTTTTTTTGGTTTACTATAATTTATTATTTTTTCATTTATATTTTGATTTATATTATTATTGTAAATAATATTTATTTCTATTTAGTTAACCACGGAGATGAAACTGAAGGTAAGTGTTGATTTTTTAAATATTTAAGTATAATTTATTATTTTTTCATTTATATTTCATTATTATTTTTTCATTTATATTATTATTGTAAATTCTATTTATTTAACCACGGAGATGAAACTGAAGGTAAGTGTTGATTTTTTAAATATTTAAGTAGAATTTAAAATATTAGTAGTATATAGTAGAGTATTTTTGGAGTTGAATTTTCATTTAGTTGACAATGATGGGGAAGATGAAAGTAAGTTTTAAATTTTGTAACTATTTTAGTAGAACTAAATATATATGTTAATGATAACTTCTGTCTAAAACAAGATGTTAATTGTATATATAATTTGTTTAGTTTATCATAAGCGACCTGATAAAGGTATAATCGTTAGTTAGCCATGTAGCAATTAATTTTGTTTTTAAAATTATTGAATTTTTATAATATATTTCTTTAAAAGATTTTAATAAAAGTGTATTTAAATTTATTGTTTAGACAAAGCACTAAAGAAATACAGTCAGTATTTTTGTCATTAAATATTTGTTATTAGGATTTAATAATTTGTACTGGTTACTTTTAACTTGCTTTTTACTTTATAGGAAAATTGAAACTTAGACTAGGTATAAATTATTTTATAATTTTACCAATTGATAATTTATATATATATATAAATATATATATATATACACACACACACACACACACACACACACACACACACAGAGTAGTGATAGAGCCTTAAATTTAACTCAACATTGTTAATTTATACTAATTTAAAGTTATTTTTTCAAATTACTGATTTGATTGATTTTTTTTTATGTCTTTTTTATAAAATTTTTAGTTTTTTTTTGTTTTAGATGATTTTATGGAAGAAATGAGGAAAACAGGTTAAAAATTATATTTAGATACATACATACTTTTTATTATTAACTATTATATGTTTATACACTATTATATATTTTTAACATTAATTTTTTTTTAAGTGTCATTATTAGTGTCTAACCCTGTGACAACTGGTAGGGTTATGCTTTTTATTTTTTTGCAATTATATTGTAGATTATTAAAATACAAATATTACATTTGTTTTTTTTTGTTTTTTTTTTTTTTTCTATTCTACTCTTCTTCTTTTTTCCCTCTTTTTTTCAGCATCATTCTCTGGTACTACTTCAACATGTAGGGTTATACTTTATATTTAAATAAAATACAAGTATCAACATTTTTAGTTTATATTTTTTTCATTTTTTTTAGCATCATCATCTGATATGACTGCAACTGGTAGGGTTATGCTTGATAATTTTATTTAAGTACAAAGATTAACATGTTCAGTTTTTATTTTACCCTACTTTTATTTTATTTTCTATTTTTTAGCAGTGACATCTGGTACTACTACAATTGGTAAGGGTATGCATTATATTTAGATTAAAATACAAATATCAACCTGTTTGGTTTTTATTTTATTCTACTTTTTTTTTTCTCCTCTATTTCTTTAGCCTCACCATCTGATACTACTACAACTGGTTGGGTTATGCTTTATATTTTTATAAAAATGCAATTATTAAGATGTTCAGTTTTTACTTTATCTAACTTTTATTTTATTTTCCCTTTCTTTAGCATTGACATCTGGTAGTACTACTACAATTGGTAGGGTTATGCTTGATATTTTTATTAAAGTACAAAAATTAACATGTTCAGTTTTTATTTATCCTACTCTTATTTTACCCTACTTCTATTTTATTTTTTATTTCTTTAGCGCTGACATCTGGTACTACTACAATTGGTAAGGTTATGCTTTATTTTTTAATTGAAATACAAATATCGACATGTTCAGTTTTTATTTTATTTTTTCCATTTTTTTAGCATCGTCATCTGGTACTACTACAACTGGTAGGATTACGTTTTATATTTTTATGCATTTTTTTTCAAATTGCAATTTTATTCAAAATACAAATATGAACATGTTTGGTTTTTATTTTATTTTTTCCATTTCTTTAGCATCGTCATCTGGTACTACTACAGTTGGTAGGATTATGTTTTATATTTTTATGCGTTTTTTTTCAAATCGCAATTTTATTCAAAACACAAATACCAACTTGTTCAGTTTTTACTTTATTCTACTTTTTTTTTCCTTCTATTTCTTAAGCATTGTCTGGCACTGCTGCAACCGGTAGAGTTATGCTTTTATCTTATTATTATTTTAAATGCAAATATCTATTTTTTTTATATTATTTTTTATTTCTTTAGATCTAAATTGGAGCAGCTACAGGCTTTATCGCTCCCAGCACCCAGGACCTCTTTCTGAGAGGTCCTTTAACAAATGGTGCCTTAATAATGGTATGGATGAGCCCTCATTTAAATGGAGAGCTCATCCATACAGGGGTGCTGGGAGGCACCAAGGAAAAAACAGCAACAAAAAAATTTTAAATATCTTCAATCAGTGAAGATATTTACAGTTTTTTTGTTGCTGTTTTTTCCTTGGTGTTTTATTCTCAAAGAAATAAATTTATAATTTTAATTTTGTTTGTTTTTATTTTTTTAGTATTTGTTTAGACTATTAATTTTTGACTAGACATTTAATTTTTGGTTCACAATATAACATGACTGTAATTGTCCCCAATATATATCATATCAGTTAAATCAGAAAAATGTACTATAGTAGATAATTAACTGTAAAAAAAACCACATGTAAATTTCTAATATTTTAAAGTTTATAATTTGTTGATTTTTACCAGATTTTATTTCTTTTCATTGTTTCGAATTTAATAGTTTAGTGTTTATAACTGCTTTTAACTTATGTTAAGCTTTAATAAATTTAATCTTCTAATTTTTATCTAATATAGATATTTTAATATGTAAAATAGATAGTCTTAATAATAAAGAAAAAAAAAAGTAAGTAATAAGAAAAAAGAAAAACAGATAAATAATCTTTTATATATTGAATTTGAATTTTGTCATGTTGCTTATTATATTATTGACATTTCAATGATGCTGTTAGATTTTTGTTTATTTCTTTAGAATTTAGAAAATTAAATTAAACTACAACTTTTGAACAGTCATTTCATTGTTTGTGAAGGTTAAATTATTTTAATATTTTTTAAACAATTTTTTTATAGAAATAATTTGAAGTTTACAAAAAGGGTTTACAAATACTTTATTTTTTAATTTTTTTTTCTATTTTTTGTTTAAGCAGCACTTTTATTATCAAAATTTATTATTCAAATTTTATTATTCATTATTTTTTAATCCTATTCGTTATTTTTTTATTTAGATTATTATTATAAGTTAATTTTTTGTTTAAACATCTCTTACCAGATATATTTATGAAATTTTTTTTATAAAAAATGCACAAGATTGTTGTATAATTTAGTTTATTTTAAATAAAAATTTCCTGTCATTTTTTAAAAATAATTTGTATGTGCAATTTAGAGTAGTAAAAAAAAAAAGATCACAATCTTCTGGATTAATTCAAGTTTTTTTGTTACTATTATCAATTAAAAGTAAAATTTAAATGGATGAAAATGATGAAAATGTTAATAGGCAAGTTGAAAATAATCGTCGCAGAAATGCCAGAAATAGGCTGAGGCAAGATGAAATTAATCATCTTCAAAATATCAGATATGCTGCTCGGCAAGCTGCTAATAATTTGAAACAAAATGAGGACAATGTCATTAGGCAAGTTGATAATAATTGACGCAGAAATGCAAGAAATAGGCTGAGGCGAAATGAAATTAATAATTAACAGAATGCTAGATATGCTGGTAGACATGAAAGAATGCATTGTATAGCAAGAAGTAATACTATTCCAGATTATAATTATTTGGGAGAAATGAATCATATTTGTCAGCATTGTGGTGCTAAGAAATTTCCTGATGAAACACATTTTTTATGTTGCCATAATGGAAAGGTAGTTTTGTCTCAACTTTCACCATTTCCGCAAGATTTACAAGATTTATTAACAGGAAGTTATGTAGATCGAAATGCCAATGTGAATTTTCTAAAATATATTCGAAATTATAATGCCTGTCTTTCTTTTTCTTCATTTACCGCTAATGTAGTTCAACCCATGAATCATGGGCCGCCATGTTTTAGAATATGTGGTCAGGTTTTTCATCGTGTTGGTAATCTTAGGCCAGATCAAGATATTCCTCCAACATATTGTCAACTATACATTTATGATCCACTTGCAGCAATAAATTTTAGAATGCAACAACCTGGTAATGATCTTTGCTTAAATGATTTAATGTTTCGGTTGCAAACTGTTATTAGTGAGGAGAACCCATTTGCTCTCGCATTTAAAAACATGGCTGAAGTGGAAGATGAAGAAATTCGCCAAGCAGCTATAGAAGGTCGCTCAGTCTCAGTTGTAAAAATGTCTTTACTTGAAGGGCAAGATAGACGTCCCTATAATCTCCCTTCACATAATGAAGTTGCAGTTGTATTTGTTGGTGAAGATGGTGCTCCTCCTGCTTCCAGAGAAGTTGTTATTTACCCGAGAGGTCATCCTCTTAAAACTATATCAAGTATGTCTGCCAACTTAGATCCTATGGTTTATCCTCTATTTTTCTCAAGGGGTGATGCTGGTTGGCATAATCAATTGGTTCACAACCCTGAACGTGCTACATTGGTTAGAAATCATGTTACATTATCTCAGTATTACAATTATAGACTTTCGGTTAGACAAATTTTTTCCTCAATCTTTTATGGCAAGAAACTATTTCAGCAATATGCTGTTGATGCATATGGCAAAATTGAAGGCCAGCGCCTTGCTTTTATCAGAAATAACCAAAACAAACTTAGAAGCGAGCAGTATGATGCCTTACATGAACATGTAGACAACCTTGGAAACGATCATAATGTTAGAGTAGGGCGCATTGTAGTTTTGCCATCTACTTATGTAGGAAGTCCTAGAGCTTTAAAAGAAAACTTTGAAGATGCTATGGCTATAATTAAAAAGTATGGTAAACCAGATCTTTTTATTACTTTTACCTGCAACCCAAAATGGCGCGAGATAACTGAAAATTTATATCCAGGTCAAACTGCAAATGATAGACCTGATTTAGTTACACGAGTATTTAAACTCAAATTAAATAATCTCCTAAATGATATTTTTAAGCATGGTGTATTAGGGAAAGTCGTAACCCATGTTCATGTTATCGAATTTCAAAAGCGTGGTTTACCACATGTTCATATTTTACTTCACTTTGCCACTGATGACAAGCTGGAGACAGCACAGGATATCAATAGTTTTATATGTGCTGAAATTCCAGATCCAATTATATATCGTGAACTTTATGATGTTATTAAAACTTGCATGATTCATGGCCCATGTGGCATACTGAATCCAAATTCTACCTGCATGAAAGATGGGGTGTGCAGCAAAAATTATCCTAAAGAATTTAATGCCAACACAGTAGTAGTTCATAATGGTTATCCTCGCTATAGGCGTTGTGATAATGGTTTGGTTATCAATATTAAAGGCAACAATGTAGATAACCGCTGGGTGGTACCTTACAATCCATGGTTATCAAAGAAATATCAAGCCCACATTAATGTTGAAGCTTGCATGTCTGTTAAGGCTGTTAAATATTTGTACAAATACATATACAAGGGTCACGACTGTGCCAATATTTTGATAAATGAACAAATTAATCATGATGAAGTAAACACTTTTTTAGACTGTCGTTATGTTAGTGCACCTGAAGCATTGTGGCGAATTTTTGAGTATCCCATAAGTCATATGTCACACACTATTATCCGCCTTAAAGTTCATCTTCCTGAGAATCAATTAGTGTATTTTAGAGAAGGAGCAGAACAAATGGCTTTAGATCGTGCAGCTCAACGTGATACACACCTTACAGCATGGTTCAAGTTAAATTCTAAAAATGAAAGAGC